CTGTTCTCTGCGCCGTGACTGTACCCTGGCGTGGAGCCCTCTTTGGGCGGCTCTGAGCCCTCTCTGGGCAGCTCTGCACCTGCAACATCGCGTGTCTCCCAGATTGTGTAGGGACCACGGGAGATTCGTCAGGGGAGAATCGTGACTTGGGGTGCAGGTTCATGAGCGGGAGGTCCGTGGGGTTCCCAGTTTATATTTTTTTCTATTAAAAATCTATGGGAGTGGTCGGGCGCGGTGGCTGACGCCTGTAATCCCAGCAGTTAGCTCGGAGGCAGGCGGATCACTTGAGGTCAGGAGTTAGAGAACAGCCTGGCCGACGTGGTGAAACCACGTCTCTACTAAAAATACAAAAATTAGCCGGGTGTGGTGGCAGGCACCTGTAATCCCAGCCATTCGGGAGGCTGAGACACAAGAATCGCTTGAACCCGGAGACCAAGATTGTTCCATTGCACTCCAGGCTGGTTGACACAATGAGACTGAAAAAAAAAAAAAAAAAAAATGGAATCACCCCCAACATTTTAAAAAGAATTTAATTAAAGAGTGTCTCTAAAATTGTAAAGCACCCAGCTATGGGATGTAGTTTGTGGTCCTTTGGCTGAGCTTGAAGGAAATATTTTGTTCTTTTTTTTCTTTCATTTTTTTTTCAAGATCTTCAAGAAGGAAGTATTTTGTGCATGATACAAAAAGGAAAATTGAGTAATGGGTTAAATACAGACACCTAGTTTCTTATCTTGAGCGTACAATTTCCTGGTTTTGTAATCAGAGCTTAATTCCAGGGTTTTAAGGTTTGTTAAGCCTGAATTTGTTTTCCCTAATGTAGTAATTTACAAAAAAAAATTTGAGTTAGTTTTTTTTTTTTTTTTTGAGACAGAGTTTTACTCTTGTTGCCCACGCTGGAGTGCAATTGTGCGATCTTGGCTCACTGCAACCTCTGCCTGCCAGGTTCAAGCGGTTCTCCTGCCTCAGCCTCCCAAGTAGCTGGGATTATAGGCAGGCACTACCACGCCTGGCTAATTTTGTGTTTTTAGTAGAGACCGGGTTTCTCCATGTTGGTCAGGCTGGTCTCGAACTCCCAACCTCAGGTAATCTGCTTGCCTTAGCCTCCCAAAGTGCTGTGCGTTAGATTTTTTAAAAGTAGGAATTCAGGCCGGGCATGGTGGCTCACACCTATAATATCATGAGGTCAAGAGATTGAGACCATCCTGGTCAACAAGGTGAAACCCCGTCTCTACTAAAAATACAAAAATTAGCTGGGCATGGTGGCGCATGCCTGTAGTCCCAGCTACTCGGGAGGCTGAGGCAGGAGAATTGCTTGAACCCAGAAGACGGAGGTTGCGGTGAGCCGAGATGATGCCATTGCACTCCAGTCTGGGTAACAATAGCGAAACTCCATCTCAAAAAAAAAAAAGTAGGAATTCAGGGACTACGTTAACCTTAGTCGAATTGCCTGCCACTTAACTGTTTCACTCTCTACACAAAACTGATGTTCCCCTGCATTGTTCACAGGTGTCCCAAGCAGGGTCTCAAGTCTACCTTCCACCCCCCCATTCCTCTAGCCTAACTCTGGCTTGCAGTAAAAGACTAAATTTCCAGTTTCTCATGACAATCTCAAATGCCAACTCCCTCTCCCTAATTTACACTATTAACTATTTGTCCTTTAGTGTATATTTTTAATACTGTATTTTAGTTAAACATTTTTTTGACAAAGCATTGGATGGCACATTTAAAAAGATTTGTTTCTCTATGTAAATATTTTCCATGAGAAGAAAGCAAAGAATAATTTTCTGACACTGTATTGTAAAAAAATCTCTGTGTCTCTTTTCCTTTTATCTTCTCTAGGCACAGAGGTCTTATGAGAATGTTTTGGCATCAAGGTTTTTCTTGGAATTTTTATGGGGTGATGTGTCATCAGCCACCCTTTAGTTTTTTCCTGGTCCTGGGTTTCCGTACTATCTATGAATAAACCAAAGATATCAGTAGTGGCTATGTCTGCGAGACTGTCAAATGAGTATTAATTCCTGGGTCATTTTCTGCCATAGGACAACTGTGGTCTGGAATATAGCCTCTCAAGGGAGCAGGTGGATGCCCTGGGGCTGAGAGGAATCTCCTAGTGTACTCTTCCTTTGAAAAGCTAACCCCTTGAGATGTTTAGATTCTCTTCACCCAACCCAGCTTCCCTTTTTTGGGGACACATTACTGGTCAGCCAATCAGATATTGGCATTAAGGTGAAAACAAATAATTTCTCTCCCCTCAATTCTCTACAATTTGTGAAAAAAACGTAGTATATCAGCCAGGTGCAGTGGCTCACACCTGTAATCCCAGCACTTTGGGAGGCTGTGGCGGGTGGATCACCTGAGGTCAGGAGTTCAAGACCAGCCTGACCAACATGGAGAAATCCCGTTTCTACTAAAAATGCAAAATTAGACGGTTGTGGTGGTGCATGCCTGTAATCCCAGATACACGAGAGGCTGAAGCAGGAGAATTGCTGGAACCTGGGAGGCAGAGGTTGCTGTGAGCCAAAATCGCGCCATTGCACTCCAGCCTGGGCAACAAGAGCAAAACTTCGTCTCCAAAAAAAAAAAAAAGGTAGTATCTCAAAAGACCAAAAAAGCCATCACTCCAATGAGATGAGACAAGAAATTGCAAAGTAAAATGTACTTGGGGCACTCACTGTCGTGCAGAGTCTTCTGAGAGGGTGGTCATTGAGCACTTAAGTGAGCAGGAGTGGGGGGGAGAATCTCTCAAGTGATTGAATGGCCTGACTTGATACATGAGTCAGACACACCTGTTTTCTTATCAGCACTGCCGCTCCCTGGGTTTGTCACCTTGAAAAGATTTGTTCACTTTATGTTGACTTCAGATTTTTAAGTCTTCATTGCAATTAGTAGAAGTTGAAAGGAAAGAAAATGTTTACAATGGGCATAAAAGAGGTGGGTTTCAGAAAAAAATCTAACCTTTTTTTGTTGTTGTTGTTAAAAATTCTCATGTATCTTTTTCTTTCCTAAAGTGAGTTTAGAAATTTTCTCAGGCATATTTGCTATGGCTGGTTAATTTCAAACAGAATTCCAAGACTTTGCTTTTAGAATGCTACCAAGGAAAAAAATAGGGAAAATATCGATTCCATTTTGACTGTAGAATATGAATACATTTTCAGAAGAAAATGTGAGAGATGATAAATAAGTTACATAAATTCAAGAAAACATTAGTTCTTTTTGTAGGATAAATTTTTGACAGTGACTCTCTCTGTTCTATATCTTGTTGTCTTGATTTCAAAGTTTAGTGCTAAATTTTATAAGATGAAACTTGGTACCCCTAAAAGTGTTCCCATATCATTTACTACAAGATTTTTTTTTTTTTTTTTAGATAGAGTCTCGCTCTGTTACCCAGGCTAGAGTGCAGTGGCGCAATCTTGGCTCACTGCAACCTCCGTCTCCTGGGTTTAAGCAATTCTTCTGCCTCAGCCTCTTGAGTAGCCATTGCCTGGCTAATTTTTTTTTTTGTATTTTAGTAGAGACAAGGTTTCACTGTGTTGCCCAGGCTGGTCCCTAACTCTTGAGCTCAGGCAATTTGCCTGCCTCGGCCTCCCAAAGTGCTGGGATTACAGGCGTGAGCCACTGCTCCCAGCCTACTATATGATTTTTAATGAAAATAATAAAATAGGCTGGGCACGGTGGCGCACGCCTGTAATCCCAGCACTCTGGGAGCCCGAGGTAAGCGGATCACCTGAGGTTGGGCGTTCAAGACCAGCCTGACTAATGTGGTGAAACCCCGTCTTTATTTAAAAAAAAAAAAAAAATTAAATAAGACATTTATAATTTAAAAGGAATAGATACTTTTGCTTCTGCTGTTGAGGTATGAAATGTAAGCATTGTAGAAAAAGAAAAATAAAGAATAAAAAAATAAAAAGAAATGTAAGCATTGTAAAGTTACCTTGTTTTTATATGAAAACAGTAATTTTGCTGGATTTTTCGAACACTTAGTTTCAAAGACCAAGTACATAACTCTGACATGGAAATTAAAACTTGAACCCAGTGACTCCAGGCTAAGGCTAATACAGATCCTGCAAAAGGAGGTTATTTAAGGTCCAGTTAGTTCTTTCTGGGGAGCCTCCCCAGCAGGTATCCTAGCCTGCCCACCCCAGCCATGGAAGGGGCTTTTATACTGAGAGAAGCTGCAGAGCCCTGGAAAGCTGGGGACCCACAGGCTGATGCAGTTAAGGTTAAGGTGGAATGGGACTGGGAGGATCTTACCCAAGATAAAGTTATTCTTGTTTTGAGGCAGTTTTTAGACTTTATAAAATAAAACAAAGTTAGATTTATGTAAAAAAAATTGAATGACCAAGAAGTATTGCAATAGGAGGAAATACCAGCCGTAAGAGCTTTAGAAAGAATTGCAGAGTTTAGGAAGACAAGGGCTTTCTTTCATAAGGGTGAGCAAAGAAGATGGGAGGGGAATGGCAAATGGAGGGTAAAAATAAATCAGATTCTTGGTCAGAGAATGTTTTATCCCAAAGTCAGGATGTTTTTTTTTTGTTTGTTTGAGAAGGAATTTCGCTCTTGTTACCCAGGCAGGAGTGCAATGGCATGATCTTGGCTCACTGCAACCTCCGCCCCCTGGGTTCAAGCAATTCTCCGGCCTCAGCCTCCTGAGGAGCTGGGATTACAGGCATGCGCCACCATGCCCAGCTAATTTTGTATTTTTAGTAGAGACAGAGTTTCACCATGTTGGTCAGGCTGGTCTCGATCTCCTGTCCTCAGGTGATCTGCTCGCCTTGGCCTCCCAAAGTGCTGGGATTACAGGTGTGAGCTACTGCGCCTGGCCAAATTCAGCTAATATTTTTATGAGAACAAAAAAAAATGTGTGGAATCGATGTCTCTGGCTTATGTGATAGGCAAGAGTAGAGAGCACCATCTAAGTCTTAATGGGAAGGGTGTTTCTGTGCGACCCCCTTGTAGACCCCTGCCCGGTACCCGACCCCAAATAACAGCTCGAGCGAGAGTTGGAAGCCGAGTTCAGGTTTATTGGGACCAGCGGGCAGGCCAGGAAAGGAAGGAGATCGGGGCTGGCTGCGACTGCGCTGCTGGGGTAGGAGGGTTTTATAGGGGGGTGGACGGGGCGTGGACACAGGGCTGGCGGAGTGTCGGAGCTTAGGATAGGCTGTCCGTCTCTGGGCAGGCTGCTGAGGTGGCTCAGAGGGTTATGTGTCGGTTCAGGACAGGCTGAGGCTTGGCGGGCTTTACTGCTGGAATGGTTGGCTGCTTGTTGTTGCTGGGCAGAACAGAGCAGGCTTGGCGGGCTTTACTCAGGGCAGCAGGAAGCCTGAGGGGAGGGTGGGGGCAAGAAACCTGGGGGAAAGATGGCGGGACTTTCTACCGAACATTCCCGACTCCTTAAAAAGGAAAAAAAGGGCGGTGGAAATCGATCTGGCTACTTCCTGCTGGACAGGGGCGGAGTGGGGTTTTTTACGGAGTCTGGGAGGTTGGTAGGGGGGTATATGCACAATCTGGATGGCTGAGGACTGGTTGTAGCAGCATCTGGTTGATGGTGATCCGGGTGAGCTCCTGGAAACGGCGCTGCAAGAACTGAAAGAAACAAGGGGCGACAAGTAAGAAGAGACAGAGGATAAGCAGAGGCCCTATCAGTGAAGATAGGAGGGTGTACATGGATGACGACCACCATGCGGTGGCTTTAGTGGTAAACTGGTAACTTTGTAGCTCCGTCTTGATCTTCTGGAGATTTTCGATGCGGGTTTCTACTATCCCGGATTCATTGATGTAGTAGCAACATTCTTCCTGTAAGAAGATGCAGGTCCCTCCTCGCTTGGCCGTAAGCAGGTCCAGGGCTCTTCGGTTTTGTAAGGCTACTTGAGCAACCGAAGTGACTTGTCGCTGGAGAGATGCTAGGGAGGCAGCAGAGTCATCAATTGCAGTTTGCAGCTGTGAGGAAAGGCGGGCTAGGGCCTGGTGGGTGTTAATCAGGGCCCCGCTTCCTAGGCCTATAGCAGCTGTGGATCCTGCGAGGGAGAGCCCAATAGCTATGGGAAGAAAGGCAGCCCTTCATTGGCGATGGGGGCTGGGGCGTGCAGAAGACATGCTAGTGTGCATCATAAGGAACTCAGCCGGTAAATAGACAGTAAGGCGTGGGACCAAGGTGACAGGGAGACAGCGGGAATGTCCTCTAAGGTCGGACTGGGTTAGTAGTTCGGAGAGGGTACCATCGCACCAAAAGTAAAAACCTCGGGGAGCTGTTAGATTGGTTGTGAGTTGTTGAGTTTTGTTGCATGTGGGGTCTGAGCTCTGAGAAGAGTAGCAGGCCGGAAAGGGTGAAGTGTTGAGATAGAAGAGTGGGACGTCTGGAATTGGGGGGTGTCGGCCTGTCCCGTTGATGTGGCTTGTAAAGAACATGGTCGGGACTGCGACTAGAGGAGTTTGTCCAAGAGCCGCACACAGGAGGCAAGAGGTCAGATTGGTCAGCCCTGTCTGATTGGCAAGCTTTAGGCCTTCTCTCATAAGGGTTAACCACGAGAAAGGGGCTAGCTGAGTTTTTAATGTAGTTTCTTGCACTTGGATTGTGTTGTGGATTTCTGGAGAGGTGAGGACATATGCCCGCCAGATATATAAGTGTGAGGACGGATAACTTATAGTACTGGTCTCGTAGACTGAGGCCTTTTGGGGTGCTTGCCATCTATCGTCCCAGGGGTCTGGAATGGTTAGAGTAAGTTGGGTTTCTTTGCTGGGGTTGCCTTCTGAGTCGAATTTTGTGGTCCTCTTAAGGAGGGAAGGGGAGCGGCCACCCTGCTCCCATTCGTCAGCTGTGGGATCACTCTGACAGGAGCCCCAGACACATCCCAGACAAGAGTGCCAACTGGAGGTCTTACAAGCACCTGTCTGTGTATAGTTAAAGCATAGCAATGGGTGAGTATTGTGGACGTTGTTAAAGGTGGAGAAGTTGAGTTGGATGGGGAATGCACATCCTGTGGTGGGGCAATCTGACGTGGTCAGGTGGTTATGGGAGTAAGGAGGGGTCGAGCAAATCCCAGTAGTTTTGGTATAATTTTCAGTGAGAAAAAATTCTCCAGACATACTGTGGGTTAGCTAAGGACAATTCAGGGCTTAAAGAGCTTAAGTGATAGAGGACCAGTAGGAACACACTCCCAACAGGAACTGGAAGGGCCATCGGGATACTTTTTTACTCTTGAGAGATGGACCCAAGATGGAATCTGAGCAACTTTGACGGCCGTTGGGGTGGCTAAAATGACGGTGTAGGGCCCTTCCCAGCGGGGTGAGAGGGGTTTTGGAGTGAGAGTTTTAATGAAGACAGAGTCACCAGGGGCAACCTTTCCCAGAGCGGGTGGAATCTCTGAGGTCTGGGGTATGGAAGCGTTGGCGTGTTCCCTGAGTAGATGTCTGAGGAGGGTAAAATAGGGAAGGTAGGTGCTCAGAGGGGAACTTCCTGGAGAAGGTGGAGTGGATAGCAGGAAAGGTCGCCCGTATAGGAGCTCGAATGGACTGAGCTGTGAGGCTCCTCGGGGGCGGGCCCGCAGCCTGGTAAGAGCTAACGGTAGTAAGGAGACCCACGACTGCTTAAGCTCGAGAGAGAGTTTGGTAAGCTGATCTTTGATGAGTCCGTTAGCCTGTTCTACCTTACCCGATGACTGGGGGTGGTAGGCCGCATGCAGCTTCCACTGAATTCCTAGGGAAGCACAGACAGCGTTAGTAACTTTGGAGACAAAGGCTGGGCTGTTGTCTGACTGAATAGTGTCTGTAAGCCCAAACCGAGGGATGATGTCCTGGATGAGATGGGCAGCGACAGTGTCGGTGGACTCCGAAGTGGTGGGAAAAGCTTCGATCCAGCTGGAGGAGGTGGGAGGGCTTGAGGTTGCAGTGAAGTAGGTCAGTGGCGAGTGCTTGGCCGAATAGGTGCGGGCTATCTCGGAAGCCCTGTGGAAGGACTGTCCAGGCCAGTTGTTGGGACATGTTCGTGAGGGGGTCATCCCCAGTGAAGGCAAAGATAAAGTAGGAGTTGGGGTGTAGAGGTATAGTAAAGAAGGCATCCTTTAGGTCTAAGACTGAGAAACAGGTGGTCTCTGGGGGAATGTTAGAGAGAATGGTGTACGGGTTGGGGACACCTGGATGTATGGGAATTACAGCTTCATTGACTAAGCGCAAGTCCTGGATTAGTCTATATTGTCCTGAGGGTTTTCGTACTGGGAGGATGGGGGTATTACATGGGGAGTTAATGGGAATTAGGAGGCCTTGACCTTTTAGTTTCTCTATGATGGGTCGGATACCCATACGGTGGGCTTTAGAGATGGGAAATTGAGGGCGGCAGAGAAAATGAGGCGAGGAGTCTTTAAGGCGGACCTGAACTGGCTGGTGGTGGGTAGCTACAGACGGGTTGTTAATGTCCCAGACCTGAGGGTGGACTCCGGGGAGTAGTTCTGACAGGGCTTTTTGGGGTTCAGTGTCTGAGGTGAGGGCTAGGAGAAAGAGACTGTGTGGGTTGGCGGAGGGGAAGGTTATGACGGCCTTCAGCTTTGAAAGGATGTCTCGCCCCAGAAGGGGAACTGGGCAGGTGGGGATTACTAAAAAGAGTGGGTAAATGGAGTAGAGTTATATGAGCACATGAGTGGTGGGGTTTGGTAGGGGATACTCGGGGTCCCATCGATTCCCATGACTAAGACCTGGGAAGGGGTGAGATGGCCAGAATAAGAAGGAAGTGTGGAGTAGGTAGCCCCCATGTCTTGTGACCCTAGGCTCGGCGAGGGTAACCGGAGTCGGAAAGCCAGGGCCCCACTAGTCGTCTAGCAGCCCTAGTAGACTGGGGAACGGAGCTCCCTCGGAGGTCGGCTCCTGGCAAGCAGGCTCCTCCCTCCTGAGGGTGACCGCCGGCTGCGTAACGCCAGTGTGTCTGTTTTGAGGAACCGGCACCCTGGGGAAGCTGGGGCAGTCTGACTTCCAGTGTCCCGGGAGCTGACAGATAGGGCAAGGCTTAGTTGGTGGCCATCGTTGTGGACAGGCTCGGGACCAGTGTCCTTCCTTTCCACATTTGAAACATGCTCCCGGGGGGGCATGGGTTTCGGCCTTGGGCTTCTGGTTCCCTGCCGGCCTTAGAGCCGCCACTAGGGCTTGGGTCTGGAGGGCAGCCTTCTGCTTCATGCGAGTTTGGCGGGCAGCCTCAGCCGCATCTTCCCTGGCATTGAATACTTTAAAGGCCATTTTTACCAGGTCTTGGATGGGAGTCTCTGGCCCCTCTTCTGCTTTCTTTAGTTTCTTTCTTATGTCGGGGCGCTGATTGGGAGATAAAATGGGAGGCTAATACAGTGGCCCCGTTTTGGGGGGCTGGATCTAGTCGAGTATACCAGACTAGGGCTTCTTATGCTTAAGTGAGGTATTGGAATTCCTTAATATAGGTGGACGGGTCGGCTGAGAAGGATCCTAAACGTTTCTCAATTTGGGACAGGTCTTTGGAGTGAGAAAGGAACATGGACCCTGATTAAACCTTCTGCGCCTGCTACTTCTCGGAGTGGGGCCAGGATAGCTGGCTGGTGGGAGCGGGTGTGGGCCGCCACCGGAGAGGCAAGAGGAAGTGCGGCCTCTGAGGGAGGGGGCTCGGAGGGAGTAGAGGGAGAGCGAGGCATGGCCTCTGAGGTAGGAGGTGCAGAGGGAGCAGAGGAAGAGCGTGCCGCTGATGGCGGCTGGTTGCTGAGATTGGCAGGAGAGGATAGATGTTCAGGCAGATCCTCCGGTGAGGAGTGGGGAGGGGGAGAGGTAGTGGACTTCCGGAGTGGGAACAAAGGGGGAAGACATGTGGTCAGGCATCTCTTCCTGTAGAGTATAGGGAGGTGGCTTGGTTGGGGAGGTAGGAGTCTGCGGTGGGGGAGTTCGGGCTAAGAGAACTTGGTGAGTGGAGCAAGAAGAGCAGAGGTCAGGATGGAAACGCAGGTCCCAAAAAGCCTGAACATAAGGCACTTCTTTATCTTTGCCAGTTCGGTGGCAGAAGTTATCTAGGTCGCGGAGCACATTGAAATCGAAAGTGCCGGTGGGAGGCCAATGCGACCTGTTATCGAGCTGATACTGGGGCCAGGCCACCTGGGAGAGGAAGACAAGCTTTTTTCGCCTAAGGGTTTTGGGAGTAGCCCAAGCGGGTAAAGTCGAGAAGTAAACAACCTAGTGGGGTGTTTTTAGGAATTTTGGACTCCACGCTCCCCATGATGCGTGCGGCAAAGGGTTCCTGCCAGCCGAGGGCAGTCTCGGAACAGTATCCGAGTGGGCTGGGGTAGTGTGGGGGAGGCGTCCCTCCAACCCACCAGCTTCCCCAGAGGAAGGTGGATAGGAAAGACCAGATAAGGTGTCCCCTGTCTGATCGTTCCTATTTAATGGATTTGGATTGGGTGGGTCAGAGAAGGCGTCCCTTGTCTGCCGACCCAAGGCTCCTGGAGCCTGGTTGGGGGATCCTGCTCGGGCCGGCCGGCGCTTGGCGAGGGATCCGTGGAGTGGGACTGGGAGGAAGCGTCTTTGCCACACGCACCACGGAAGGAGAAGGTAAGAAACAGGACTTACCTGGTCCGGAGTGCTGAGGCCGAATTGGAGGAGGGCTGGGGAGGTCGCTGGAGGGAGGGGGTCGCTAGGGGGGGCTAGCGACCCTCCGTCCCGGGTTTTCGGCACCAAATGTGCGACCCCCTTTTAGACCCCTGCCCGGTACCCGACCCCAAATAACAGCTCGAGCGAGAGTTGGAAGCCGAGTTCAGGTTTATTGGGACCAGCGGGCAGGCCAGGAAAGGAAGGAGATCGGGGCTGGCTGCGACTGCGCAGCTGGGGTAGGAGGGTTTTATAGGGGGGTGGACGGGGCGTGGACACAGGGCTGGCGGAGTGTCGTAGGAGCTTAGGATAGGCTGTTCGTCTCTGGGCAGGCTGCTGAGGTGGCTCAGAGGGTTATGTGTCGGTTCAGGACAGGCTGAGTCTTGGCGGGCTTTACTGCTGGAATGGTTGGCTGCTTGTCATTGCTGGGCAGAACAGAGCAGGCTTGGCGGGCTTTACTCAGGGCAGCAGGAAGCCTGAGGGGAGGGTGGGGGCAAGAAACCTGGGGGAAAGATGGCGGGACTTTCTACCGAACAGTTTCTTTAAAAAAAAAATTTTTTTTACATAAATCTAACTTTGTTTTATTTTACAAAGTCCTAGGATTACAGGTGTGAGCCATTTTGCCCAGCCTCAGCATGTTCTTAGAATGTACATAGAATTGGGTTGTATGTTGGCTCAGACTGAAGGTGGCCCAATGTTCAGGAGCCTGTGGGAAGGAGATAAATTTAAGTGAGGTTTGATATAGAAGTACAGGAAAGTGGTCCCAATCCAGACTCCAAGATACGGTTCTTGGATCTCACATAAGGAAGAATTTACGGTGAGTTCATAAAGTGAAAGCAACTATATTAAGAAAGTAGGGGAGGCCAGGCATGGTGGCTCATGCCCGTAATCCCAGCACTTTGGGAGGCCAAGGTGGGCGGATCACCTGAGGTTGGGAGTTTGAGACCAGCCTGACCAACATGGAGAAACCCTGTTTCTACTAAAAAAATTACAAAATTAGCCAGGCGTAGTGGCAGACACCTGTAATCCCAGCCATCCCAGAGGCTGAGCCAGAAGAATCACTTGAACCTAGGAGGCAGAGGTTGCAGTGAGCGGAGATTGTGCCACTGCTCTCTAGCCTGCGCAATAAGAGCAAGACTCCCCTCCTCTGCCCAAAAAAAGAAGGTAGGAGAATAAAATAATTGCTGCTTCACAGACAGAGCAACCCGGAGGGCTGCTGGTTGACCTTTTTTTTTTTTTTTTTTGAGACAGAGTTTCGCTCTTGTTACACAGGCTGGAGTGCAATGGCGTGATCTCGGCTTACCACAACCTCTGCCTCCTGGGTTCAGGCAATTCTCCTGCCTCAGCCTCCTGAGTAGCTGGGATTACAGTACGCGCCACTGTGCCCAGCTAATTTTTTGTATTTGTAGTAGAGACGGGGTTTCACCATGTTGACCAGGATGGTTTCGATCTCTTGACGTCGTGATCCACGGACCTCGCCTCCCAAAGTGCTGGGATTACAGGCGTGAGCCACCGCGCCCGTCCTGGTTGACCATTTTTATGGTAATTTCTTGACTATATGCTAAACAAGGGGTGGATTATTCATGCCTCCCCTTTTTAGACCATATAGGGTGACATCCTGACGTTGCCACTGATGGGAGTGTAGCAATGAGGATAATCAGGTTACTCTCATGGCCCTCTTGGTTTTGGTGGGTTTTAGCTGGCTTCTTTACTGTAACACACTTGTTTTATCAGCAAGGTCTTTATCATGACTTGTATCTTGTGCCAACCTCTTATCTTGTGACTTAGGATCCCTTAACTGTTTGGGAATGCAGCCTGGTAGGCTCTATTTTTTTTTTTTTTTTCCTTTTTTTAGTAGAGATTTCACCATATTGCCCAGGCTGGCGGTGAACTCTTGAGTTCATGCAGTTTGCCTGCCTCAGCCTCTCAAAGTGCTGCGATTACAGGCTTGAGCCACCACACGCAGCTTTAAGCACTGGTTTAAATGCCTCTTACAGAACTATTTTATATTTACCACTGAAGACAAATTCAGGCAATTTTTCTTTTGAGGCAGTCTCATGCTCTGTCACCTCGGCTGGAGTGCAGTAGCACGATCTCGGCTCACTGCAACCTCCGCCTCCTGGGTTCAAGCGATTCTGTTGCCTCAGCCTCCCGAGTAGCCAGGATTACAGGTGTGTGCCACCATGCCTGGCTAATCTATTGTATTTTTAGTAGAGATGGGATTTCACCATGTTAGCCAGGCAGGTCTCAAACTCCTAACCTTAAGTGAACCACTCACCTCGGCCTCCCAAAGTGCTTGGACTACAGGTGTGAGCCACTGCACCCGACCAAATTCAGCTAATATTTTATGAGAGCAAGAAGAAAATGTGTGGAGTCTGTGTCTGGCTTATGTGATAGGTAGGAATAGAGAGCACCGTCTACGTCGTAATGGGAAGGGAGTTTTTTTCTTAAACTATTTCTGGAGCACAAAAAGGATTGATATTTTCCAGTATTCATGTGCTTTTTATTTTCCCACCTCTTTTCTTTGTCCTATACATTTCTTCCATTTGACTTCTCCTGGGATGTATCTTTCATAATAAACTGGAAAACATAACTACAGTGTTTGCTGAGTTCTGTGGGTAGCTCTATCCAATTATTAAACTTCAGAGAGGTTGTGAAAGTCCTGAATTTTTAAACGGTAGCTCAGAAGCATAGATAGGCCTGTGGGGTTTGAGACTGGCATCTAGACTAAGGACAGTGTTACGGGACTGAGCCCTGAAGCAGAGACTGTGCTGACTCTGGATAGTGTCAGAATTCAAACGTTAGACAATGAGTTGGTGTTGGAGAATTGCTTGATTTTCAGAAAACTGCTGATTCAGTGCCAGAAAAAAGGTATGGAGGCCTGGCCTGGCATAAAACTCTGGTGTCTGAGAATGGGAGGCTCTGCTCTCCTGTACACAGGCTGTCACACTGCCCATTGTCCTGTCATTCCAGGTCTCCTCTTAGGGTGAGAGAGGATAAAAACTTAGAAGAAATGAGCACTGATAACAGACCCCCTTTTCCCACAGCTGCCACCACAGGATTCCAACCGACCCATAAACATATTCACTAGACATTGATGTATCCACACCCCTTCCAGGACTAGATTAGGCACCACCCTTAGGAACTTCACTACGGCAATTTTTTTTAAGATGGAGTTTCGCTCATATTGCTCAGGCTGGAGTGCAATGGCACAATCTTGGCTCACTGCAACCTCCAACTCCCGGGTTCAAGCAATTCTCCTGTCTCAGCCTCCCAAGTAGCTAGGATTACAGGCGTGAGCTACCACGCCTGGCTAATTTTTTGTATTTTTAGTAGAGATGGGGATTGTCCATGTTGGTCAGGCTGGTCTCGAACTTCCAACCTCAGATGATCCACCCACCTCGGCCTCCCAAAGTGCTGGGATTACAGGCGTGAGCCACCACACCCGGCCAACAAAGGATTTTTTAGCAAAGCAAATTTACTTTTGCACAGGAGGGTGCTTTTTGTAAGCCTTGTTGCTATGAGAGTACACAGAACAAAGGAAAGTAGAAGTTACTATTTTTAGCATGACTCATGCCCCTGCATCCTTCTTTTATTGACTGGGGTTGGACTGCACAATGTAAACTAGACTTGATTGGCTAAATAGTTAAACTTTTTTTTTTTTTTTTTTTATGAGATGGAGTCTTACTCTGTTGCCTAGGCTGGAGTGCAATGGTGCAATCGCCATTCATTGCAAACTCCACTTCCTGGTTTCAAATGATTCTCCTGCCTCAGCCTCCCAAGTAGCTGGGATTACAGGCTCATGCCACCACACTTGGCTAATTTTTTGTATTTTTTTTTTTTGAGACGGAGTTTTGCTGTTGTTACCCAGACTTGAGTGCAATGGCACGATCTCGGCTCACTGCAACCTCTGCCTCTTGGGTTCAAGCAATTCTCCAGCCTCAGCCTCCCGAGTAGCTGGGACTACAGGCGTGCACCATCATGCCCAGCTAATTTTTGTATTTTTAGTAGAGATGGGGTTTGACCTTGTTGACCAGGATGGTCTCGATCTCTTGACCTCGTGATCCACCCGCCTCTGCCTCCCAAAGTGCTGGGATGCCAGGCTTGAGCCACCATGCCCGGCACCAGTTGGAGATTTTTTTAAATCAGTATTTACTTGCTGAGATAGAGACACTAGTCCAGTTTCTCCCTGGACCAGAGCAGCAGTGCCGATTGCTGCTGACGCAGTTATGCTAAGGCTGGCCAGAGGGGCACCAGGAGTGGGGCCTGTCAGCGGCAATTCAGGGGGCGCGATGAGAAGTTGTCCTTCTGATCAGCCGGTGTTCGTGTAAACCTGAGGAATCACATGAACTAACATGCACAGGAGAGGTCCAGGGTCAGTCCCCTTGATGCAATGGGTGAGGCCCGAGGTGCAAGCTGGCTGAATATTGTTGAGTGCCTGATAGGAGACTGAAGGTTTAGGGAAATAAGCAGAGACTGGGCACAGGTAGCTAGATAGGGAGAAGTAGATAGTTTGTACCCCTTTCTGATTAGGCAGGAGGCATTTCCTGAAACGTCCCCTAGTGTAAGGGAATGGGGACAAAAAAGAGGGCCAGTGTTAAACTCAACTTTAACTCCCAATCCAACATAGTATGGGGGTTTGGCCTTCTTGATGCGGAAGAGGTGAATTTAAGCAGGAATGCCGTTAACTTTCAGGGCTGTGGGTGAGGCGAGGATGACGGTTTGAGGTCCTTTCCAAGCAAGAACGAGTCCTTCCTTCTGAAACTTTTTGACATACACCAGGTGACCACGACGGAAAGGGTGGCAGGGCCTAGTCAGGTCAGGAACTGGATTAGGGTGTGCTCCCGGGACAAGCAGCTGGATGGTGTCTTGAACCTGCTGGGGAGACTGCAGGTGCTGTAACAAGTTAGCTTGGGATATTTCTGCTAACTGGGTGTCCCTTAGTTTAGGCAAGATAGGTGGGGCCCTCCCATACATTATTTTAAACAGAGAGAATCACGCCTTGTAAGGGGTGCATCTAACTTTCAGAAGGGCTAAAGGAAGGGAGCTTATCCAATTTCCAGGATTAATTTGGTAAGAGTACTTTTTAATGTACAATTCATGCATTCTACCTGTCCAGAGCTCTGGGGGTGATAGACACAAGGAGTTTCCAGTGAATATTTAACTCCTTGCTGACTGACTGAGTTATGGACGAGGTGAAGGCCAGTCCATTATCAGACCCTAAGGTGACAGGCAGCCCATATTGAGGAATGATTTCATTAAGAACTACCGTAGTGGCAGTTTTGTTCTTGGTGGCAAATGTCTCAGTTTATCCAGAAAAGGCATCTACCAGCACCAGGAGGTACTTATACCCTGCCTGGTGTGGTTTCATTTGGGTAAAGTTAACTTCCCACCTCTCTCTCCTGGGCTACATCCTCGGAGATGATGGCCCAATTCAGGCTTCAGACGTTGCTTGGCGTTCACCTGTACACAGGCCGTGCATTGGGAGGCCACGTGGCCAGTTAAGTCTGGGGGTGCGGAATGTTAACACGG